CCCTCTTTAAAACAAACAAACAAACAAAAAACTATGAAAACACATGTACTCAAAATGGTTTCTAAAATTAGACCTAATTCATGACCAAGTGGCTCGTTTTTGCATCAGAAAGATTTTTTCATATATTAACAATGACGCCAATTAGAAAATATTCAGTAACATTGAATTTTTATAAGTTTCTATTTTTTGTAGTTCTGAAAAAAATTATAAAACCATGTAACTTTCAATGCATTCTGCTCATTTTTGATACATTGAAAAAAAAATGCATTTCAACTCTGGAGAAAAAAACGTTAAAATTATCAAAGGAGGGAAGCTAGTCGGAAAAAAACAATCTATCAAAATACATTTTCAAAAATTTTTATACAACAATGTGCTTTTTTATGAAAATTTTTAATAATTATATTTTCTTATAATATATATTATAATTATCATAATAGTATATTCAAGCTTAAGACACAAAGCACAACATATTTTTGCGAATATATATGTAGCGCTGATTAATGATTACACCGATCAATCAATATCTAGTGATTGTGTGACATTTTGAATATGTCAATTTACATGTATGTACATGTACTAGCATTTTGCTTTTGGACGATAATCAAGTTAAAGTTAATGAGTTAAAGTGCTCAATAAAATTGAGTATCTGTTTGTCCAAGAGTCGTACGAACAAAATGCAAAATATTTTATTTAATCTAGGCCAAAGTTAGCCCCACGTTTGGGATAAAAGTAAAAATCTGTGCAAATGACTTATTTAAATGGGCTATTAGCTTAAACACTTTAATTTGTCATGCAAATCGATGTTCAGAAATATTTTTAAGGGTTAATCATTTTATAATAAATCCTAGGTTTGAAGGTTGGTCACAAAGGTCTCGAAATGTATGAACTTTTTTTTTATTTCAATATTAAAAAGAGGCAAGCTACTGACAAACAAGTTGGTAAATCAGCCTCGTTTAAAATCATCATTGTGCAAGATTTTTAGTTGATATGATGACATTGTAAGCACAAACAGCATCTCATTTTCGATTGTCAGTCCATTTTTACGGAATCGTTTAAATTGTATTCTTTCTTCTGATCATGACAAGGAGCACATGGCGGATTGGATGGTTGGCATTAAAGGCTTTGCATTTATTCGATACTTGTATATCATTGAAACGTCACTTTGTAACTTTGCAGTGCTAACATATATTGTGTGAGAAACAATACATTTTACCTTATAATGGATTACTTTCATGAGATTTTGTAAAGAAAGTTCTTTTATAAATTACAATTAAATAACACACATAATCAAACAATAAAATGGCCTACTTCTACTTTCTTATATTAAATAAACAAATTTAGAACAGTGAAAATGCATTCAAAACATGAACTTATTATCGTTGAATTACAGATTTAGCGAAACGACCAATAAACAATGTTGTTCTGGTAGAATTTTCTGTGATTAGAAACAGGAAGGGATGATCCGCCTTAAAAATCACAGGTTGTAAAGGCATCATGCCCCCTCCCATCATCATACAAGCGGTAGCTGCGGCAGCCTCCTTGCCTTTTTCATTCACTACAACGTAAGCTTTGTGGATGACGTCAGATAGAAATGTTGGCGCTGGTGGATTATCCATCATGGCGCTAAAGTTGGCTTTGTCGGAGAAAACATCAGATACCCATTCCGCTAAGAACTTGGTTTTAATTGAAAGGAACTCTCCAATGTAAATTTTGGAATAGAGACAATAACGTCCACTCGGGAACTTTTCTTAGTCAGTTCATGATGAGTTTCAAAACACAAGTTTGATTCCAATCTGGATAGCCCGTCTATTTTATTTGGAAGAAGTATTAACATGCTCATTTCCTCTCCTTTGTAAGGGAGATTCAACATTTTGCAGCCTAGGGATTCCGAAATACTGATCAACCATTTCCTCATTTCCATATGCATCATTTCAACCATTTTTGAATCTGTCTCGGCTATGTGAAATTTTTCACGCTTAGTTCTTGATAACTGGAATGGAATTTTCCAATCGCCTTTAAAGTAACTTGCATTTGTTAAGATAATCAGAGACAGGAGATTTATCCCCCCTTCCGGTATCAGATCCTTGATTTTATTATTGGTCTGTTTTTTAGCCCACGCGTTGATTCTCGTCCTGGACACTTGTGGTTTTCCCACAAAATCTAGCAGCTCAATATCACTGTCATAGAACTCCAAAGATTCCCTCTTGTAAACCTCCCTAATATTCAGTCTGAGCTTAGAAAATATTTGGTTTGCAATATGAAGATTGTTCCTTTCTTTAGATTTTTCCATCAGGGTAGAGTGTAGGTCTTTGTAAGCCTTGTGTGGATCAGGAATTCCAGAGAGACACAAAACTTGTTTAATTTGAGCCTCAGATTCCCTTTTGGTGCCCAGCATTGATAACATTAAGGCGGCCGACACGCTGTACGGCGACAGGAACAAATTGTCACTCCACTCCGACAAAACTTTGTACAACTTAAAAAAAAGTCTGTAACAGCATCCTCCATTGTTAATATTCCCCGAGTAAATGAGCCAGCAAGAACAAGATTTAATAAATAGACAAAGTTTAACTATAACCAGTCATCTTTTATATTTGACAAAAATCCTTTGAATGAATTCATTTTAATCCGTCACCTACATATTGACCGGCTGTAGTATCTCTAGTTAGCTGTCCTTTTAATAATGTATAACATGTAGAATGTTTACACATAGTCAAATGTGTATACCGGTATATAGTTACTGGGATTCACCACGGGTTAAAATATTGCAGTTGAAAGGACTTTAAACAGCGCGTATTTTTTAAAATATATGATAACAGTAAGGGTGTGGTTGTATGAGGGTTTGCTTGTACATGTTTACTAACTCTTATCCCGGGGAGGCTGGCGGTCTCATTTTTATTTGGTGAGCGAAAATAGATAAAAGTTTACTTTTTAAAAATGTACTATTCTTCATGGATAACACATATTTTTGAATAATATATTCGGCACCCACATTTCAATTGAATTTTTTTACTTGATCGAAATTTTCACTCATTTCATCCACTTTCAAATAATTTAATTTAAGTTGTAACATGTCATTTTATTGGGTAGAAGATTTCATCCATTTTGTTTAACATAACTTGCCTACGTCACAATGAGTAACGTTCAAAACGTATTTCCCTGCTTGACGTTACTTTTAAAATATGCTAAGTTTGAACTTTTTTCCGGAGGAAAAATTTCTCAATGTATACTCTCGAATTAAATTATAAAGAATAAAGCTTATTTCAACTTTAGTATTACGAGAAAACATAACTTGGGGTAGTTTACGCTTTTTTATAATTATAAATCAATGTGAACTTAAATCAAATATTCTAAGTAAGATGGTCTGGTGTGATCGAGAGCGGGAATCTCTTGATAATACATGAATTCCTTCAAAACCCCTTTCTTTTCCTGGTCATTAAATAATCAAACATATATGATTGAATAATTTCCTTCTCTGATTGGCTGAGAACCAATTATGTTAGAAAAATACTACGTTGTATTGACCTGCACGTGACGTTCCAGGTCAATACAAAGAATTATTGCAGGTCAATATAAGGAATAATTGACCTGTTTAATTTTTTCTGTTACAATGTGTTCTTGTTGAAATTTCTTGTAAAATTTCCATTCCAACAAATTACTTCCATTAAAGCAAAGAAACAGTCTTGTAGGAGTTTGCTATCATTTAATCTTATAATAAAACAGTTATTGCTGTTTTTTGCGGTCAATACGATGATTTAGCCACCGTCGAAGTACTAAATTTACTTCGCCGTTCGGGCTCAGTCAATATTGTACTCCTCATGTGTCTAAATCATCGTATTGACCTTAAAAACGGCAATAATTGTATATTAGTGTATTTTTATAACGAGGAAGGGTTTCTCACGCAATATTATGAATTACCTGGCCACTGGGCCACACATATCTTCATGGAGTAAAAAACATAAATCATGGCAAAAATCTAATAAATGTTTTTAATTATAATGGAACATATTATGTCAAATTGTCAAAAGGACTAGATAAAAGTACACAAAAATAAGATGCTCTCAACAAAAAAGTTTTACATGTATTATTAAAACAGCTTAAAATATATAAAATAAATACACGATTAAATAACCTTCAAATGTTTGATGAGGAACCATTGTAGGATCTTATCATGTTAATCAAGGAATGTTTTTAAGTTTTGTGTCAGTTATTGGGGTGTTAATCACACAGACTTGTCACGTAGGCATATTTCATGAAGAGCGCTAGCTTTTCATAAAAAACACACCTAGAAGAAGTGCACGTGTGTATGATTTACACACCAATAATTCACACTAAACTCTAAAACATTCCTTTTGCTAGTATTTACGTTTGAAATCATAAAAATATACTGTGGTTTCATCAATTTTCGTTGGCATCAATTTCATGAGTTTTGTACGCAGCAAAGTAAAGGTGACAGTAAGGAGGCGGGCCTAATTTATACGGAAAATTTTCACTATGACGTCACACAGAATATAAGGTCTTCGAAATACCACAAAATGAAATTATTTGATACTCAAACTGCTCAATAGATGTAGTCTACATTAAACCTACTATGTGTTAAATCCCACACAACAATATATAAACGATGCATCGATCGCAATGCACTTGTCAATGTGACGTCATCTCGCTAAAGTTGACGCATTTTGTACACAGTGAGAGGCAGATCAAGTCACATTTTGTACAATGCAAAATGTATTTTGTTCTTAAACAAAATATTATTCAAAGTCATATAAAAGGCCGTTCACTTGGATGCGATACATATTTTACTATTTAGTTATGACTTTGCAATATTGGAATTTATAGCTGACCTCTAAACTGCAAGTATAAATGCTAAAATCCTGTGACTTCGACATCACGTCACAAGTCTAAATAAAATATCTAAATGTCCCCAACATGTAGATTTTAACCACATTACAGTTTTTGGATACCAGTAAAGTTCTAAAAAGAATCAGTTGGTTTAGTAGAAAAACACAGCGAAAATAAATGTCATGCACATGTACGGTTATTAAGCTAGTTTGGTGAAGCGGCCAATAAACAACACAGTACCAGTAGAATTTTCTCTGATGAGGAACAAGAAGGGGTGGTCCTCTTTAAACACCATTGGTTCCATTGGCATGCAATTCACCATCATTATAACTGCCGTGGCAGCGGCAGCCTCTGTGCCTTCTTCATTGACTTCAAAAAATGCTTTATGAATGACGTCAGAAACAAAAGTGTCCTCTGGCGGATTATCCACCATGGCTCTGAAGTCGGCTCTAGTAGAGAAAATGTCGGTGATACCCATTCCGGCAAGAACTTTATCGAGTGCAAACGAACTTTCCAGTTTAAATTTTGGAATAGAAACAATTACATCCTCTCGAAAAAATCTTTTGTAAGTTCTTTATATGTTTCCGAGGTGAGACATGATTCTAATTTGGATAGCCCGTCTATTTTGTTTGGAAGAAGTATGATCATGCTCAGTTCCTCTCCTTTTTAGGGAAGATTCAACACTTTGCAGTCTAAAGATTCAGGAACACTATAAAGCCATTCTTTCTTTTTCATATGCATCATATCAACCATATCAGTTTCTGTCTCAGAAATGTGAAATTTTTCACGTTTTGTATTTGATGATTGAAATGCATTTTCCCAATTGCCTTTAAAGTAAATTGCATTTGTCAGAACAATCAAGGACATGGCATTAATTCCTCCTTCTGGGATCAGATCCTTTATTTTATTATAAGTCTGTTCTTTAACCCACGTTAATAAAATATATTTTAAAATACAGGTGACTCTCGATCTCTCGAAGAGACCGCAAGAAAAGTTCGAGAGATCGAGGGGTTCAACAGATAGTAAGTAAATAAAATCCGGATTTTTCAGTTCGGATCATCGACCTTCTACTATTATGGATAACAAAAGTATTTGTAAGTAAAGTCATTGCACGTTTTCATTCGTATTTTACAGGTAATTCACTTGATTTCAACAACAATGATCGTATTTTGAATAAATAAAACGAATTCCTAAAGTTTCAAAATTTATTTGTTCTTATTTCATGATTAAATGAAACCCGAAAAGCAACTTTCGGTTTTGCTATTCCGCGGCTTGATCGGGTCCTTCACCAGTGTTCACCAAATAAGTTGTGAATTCGTTTATAATTTACCTACAACAATCAAATAGTTTTATCAACACATGGACGACCCACAAGTGAAGAGTCATCAATGTAAACATCCAATTAACAACTCCATGTAAGCCCAAGGCTTTCAGTGTTTTCCAGGTAAGTCCAGGATGCATCAATTTTACGCTTGATCGGAGTGTATACACGCGCAATAAAAACTTCGAGAGATAGAGAGTAAAAATCAATAAAATATGTGTAACGGGACCCAGGTTTTGGTTCGAGGGATAGAGATAGAGGTTCGAGAGATCAGGAGTAAATTTGCTTAGTTATATAGAGGGAAAAAACGGGACTGGAGGTTCACTTCGAGAGATCGAGAACTTCGAGAGATCAGAGTTCGAGCCATCGAGAGTCACCTGCAGTATGTGTGTGTTTTTATGAGGTTGTCTCTGTACATGTTAACCAACTCTTATCCATGACGATCCAAAAAATAGACAAAAGATTTTTTAAATGTACATGTACTATCCTTCATGGATAATACATTTTTCGAATACGTGTATTCGGCATCAACATTTCAACTGATTTTTTTTTTAAACTGGTTAGAAATTTTACTTATCTGATTTAATTTCAACAACACTTGAAGTACAGAAAGACTTTACAAAAAAGCTACAACTTGTTTCTTATTTTGATAAAAAAAAGTTGCCATAGTCGCCATAATTAGAATTTTTATGCAAAGTTATTTAAACATATTGCTTCTTTGTTCCCAAGAAGACTTTATTAAGACACATAATTAGATATAATGGCCTTTGGATTCGAACATCGATTATTTAGAATTTAAATTATCTATCCAACACATTTCTCCTGCTATAGTTTAGGTTTGATTTTAATAAATCTGGTATTCAAGAAAATACTTCAAAGATCTATACATTTTATTTTAATTTCAACGAAGGGTGTTGCCATTTCATGTAATTACTCAAAATAGAAATATATATATATATAAAGAGCTCTTTCCAAATGCTACTCCTCCTACAGTCTTGACCTGTCTTTTTTGATAGAATTAAATTTTTTAAACAGGTACATAATTGTATATATTTTTTTTTAATTTGGACAATCAATTTTATTTCCTATCTATCTGGCTGATTTGATGCATATGGAAGAGAATGGATTACTAATCAGTGTTTCTGAGCCACTGGAATGCAAAGTGTTGAATCTTCCATACAAAGGAAAGAAACTGAGTATGCTTATATTTCTGCCAAATAAAATAGATGGGTTGTTCAAAGTAGAATCAAACCTCTCTTCCCAAACTCTTCATAAAATAACGAAAACATTTTCTACAAGAGATGTGACTGTCTCTATTCCAAAATTTAAAATGGAGAGTTCGCTTGATCTCGAAACGGTTCTTACAAAAATGGGTATTACCAACATTTTTACCACTTAAGCAGATTTCAGCGCAATGATAAAAAATCCACCACAAGATGTTTTTATTTCTGACGTCATTCACAAAGATTTCATTGAAATTCACGAGGAAAGTACGGAAGCTGCGGCGGCAACGGCTATGAAGCCGATATTCTGCTCGGCTTTGTCGAAAGTGACGTTCAAGGCTGACCACCCCTTTTTGTTCCCTACATGGGAAAACTCTACCGAAACAGTGTTGTTTATTAGTCGTTTTACTAAACCAAGTTAAGAAAGTAACAGATATACAATGACTTTGTCGGCAAATACAATTTATCATTGAGTCAAATGCCGGCTGAAATTTTTCATACTAATTTTTAGTACAATATTTATACTCTAAATTGACGACAGTTTCTATCGTTATTTCCCGCGAGCATGACAAGGAGCAAACGGCGGGTATGACCGGTTGATAGGGGATGCCCACTCCTTCATGACACCTGATACACCTCTGATGTTTTGGAGGTCCGTGATTTCTCTGGTCCTGGATTTGTATTTTAATCTGATAATACACAGCCATATACGGCTCTTTGTTATTCACATTCTTACAAGGCCCCAGCAATCTGTTTCTACGATAGACATCCAAATCGCCAGATTTAAACCCTATTTAGTATGCATTGGATAGAATAGACTGGAATATTTTGCCAAAGAAAATTGCATCCCCGGGCTTTGCAACAGCTGATCTAAGCTCTACATTTACGTTGGGATAGCATTTTGTATGCTTTTAATGCATTCATTTACTCTGCAGTGTACATCAAAAAGATGTTTGAATTTCCGATTGACAATATCTATATTGTTTTGGAGACTAGGTCTTCCAACAATCTATTGGAATTCCCATGGATCCGAATTGCGCCCCGATTAAGTATTCAACGTTGAAAAATGACCCCCGAGTCAATTTTCAACTCGGGTCAAATATCAACAATACACCGGATGATCATATAGTCGGTTTTATTTGATAATAATTTGGCAAATGATGAACGTATCAAGCTAAAATGTTCAGCATTTTTAAAATTTTGATTGTTTTATGTTACCTATAAATTTTGAAAGCACAGATTATATAGTACTAATTGTATGGCCTCAATCCACGAAGTTTATGATAATCCATTGTATATCAATATTTTGACATTTTTATTACGATGTGTAATGAAACTTTTAATTTTCCATTAAGTTTTCATATAACAAAAAGTAAAAAAAAAAACATTTTTTTTTAAAAATTCAATTTTCAATTAAATGCATCGTATACATGTATTTGACGACATTACTGAGTTTTTATTTTTCCTTCGTCATAAATGAAAGTAAAAAAAACATGAAATTAATTCTTTCCTAACGTCACGTAAAATAACGTCATTTTGACGTTACCGAAATTGTCACCAACACCGTACACAATGTCTGCACCCATTATAATAAAGTACTTTTATTATATCATTTCCGAGACACTTAAGTTAAGAATCAGCATGTGTACATGATACAATTTCTAATTCTTCCTTCACACATTACACATAAATATAAACCAGTGTTAATTGTAACGGGGACCGTTACAGATCCCCAAACGCACCCCATATCGCTTTTTGTGCCTTATTCCTGTAAAACATTTTTTGTTTGCTCAGTGTCGAAGGATTTCATTTAAAAATATAAAAGTGACAATAATATCAACTACATGTATATATCAACTGTATATCATTTAACGTTTTGCATGAGCGCACACTTGCATGCATATGTAAGATGATTATGGCATGATGGCTAAAGAATTCCTGAGAATCAAAAGAAAATAATACAGATATAAATTATACTATTTTTCAAGTATTTTTTTTTTACGCATTGTGCATGCGCACGTACGTGCATGTCTTAGCATTCAATTTTGATATTAGCATTATGTAGGATTCTACAATACTTATTCATAATCTAAATCCAGATTTATTGAGAACTAAGAAAGTCATACATGTAGGCTTTTAAAGTTTAAGCCAATTAGATTGCAGCGCACGTTCATGCGCGTGCCTTCGTGATAATTTCTATGCATCATGTTGTAGAACCTTCTTATATATGACTATATTTAAAATTGCAAAGTATTTTGTCAAAAAACAAGAAAGATATTGAGACTTTAGTTTGAGCCAATCAGAGCGAAGCGCACGTGCATGCGCGTGAGTTCATAATAATTTCTCTTCTTGTCTATAATACTAATATATGCTAATATTATTAGTTTTAACACATTTAATCAACAAATAGAAAAGTTACGGCTATATCTATTGTATTTGTTATTTCACGTTTTTCATGTGAAATTGAATTACATCTTCGATTCCCTTTCACTTGCGTGAATATGTAGTGTGTGACCATCTAGATCTAATTAACATATTTCACACCTTGACGTGCAGTAATTTTTTTTGTACATCCGTATCGTTAACTAAATCATAAGAACTAATTTGCGTGGGTAACCTTGATCTCATTATTTTATGACTCAGTGTATCATTTACTAGAAAAATTATCTATTAAAAGTTGATTTAAAAAATGATAATGCTAGGTAATAGGTTACTTTGATCAAGAAGAAAATAGATTCCTTTTGCATATTCCTGATATCCTTATCTGCGGAACTGTAGTTCTCCCCTGAGAAAATTCGAACAGATAAAGCAGAGAGCTACAGATCCAAGTGTTGCATAAAAATTAGATTTACGCGACCGTTTTTGGTCGCTCACTTTGTGTATTATTTCTAGTATTTTTAGCTGACCACAGCAACACCGCTGAACACTTTGGTTTAGCTAAGGGTCCAGAATGTTTATCGGAAAGCCTCTTATAAGTTTAAGTGCTAATGCTTTGTAATGAACATTAGACATAACGCTGCCTAAACAAGCATGTGTCACGGACATGAAATTCACAACTGAGGAAGAAACACCCTTCCTCATTTTAACTAAACATTGTTTGCTTGTTTAATACTCAGGAGCAGAGAAAAATTCTTTTTTAAAAAAAATATTGCTCTTATACTATATAATCAATATAAGTCCGCCCTAGCACTAGAATCCTTGAACCAGAGGTCATGAATTTCATTATTTTTGCAATGTATTTACTGG